AGACAGACAGATATTCATGAAATTATAAAAACAAAATACTACATTTTCATGTCATTTTTGCTCTGTTTGAGTCCGTGTGAACCAGAAAACGATTAATCTATTACTAAAATAGTTGTCGACTATTTCAATAATCGATTAGTCGTCGATTAATCGATTAGTTGTTTCAGCCCTACCCAACACACCGGCCCAACACACCGGCCCAACACACCGACCCAACACACCTACCTAACACACCAGCCCAACGGACCACAACGGACCGACCCAACGGACCGACCCAACGGACTGACCCAACGGACTGACACGCTTTCAGGAGGAACTTCAAACACTACACTTTCAAAGGCAAATTTAAACTCTCCCTCTCAAACGACCATGTCCAACAGTTCATTGTAGACCAGTGAGGTGTACTTTAGGCACTATTTGCTGTTTTTCACAAGCTGAATGAAGGTGCATAATTGCCTTTGAGTTTGTCGCACGTTTGTCCGGCGCGGTACGTGCGTTGTTGTGGTGCGGCAGAGGTGGTGGGTACAACGACTAGATTCATGCAGCGAAAGCAAGAGATGAGATTCACAGAACATCCTCGCTCCACACACGTGCAGAAACCAGTCAGAGAGCAGCCAAGTGGTCACGGGGAAACAAGCCGGTCAAAACAGGAAGACATAGATACTCAAAAACAACCAAAACATGAGCTAAACCAGGAATAAACCAGGACTGACAATGGGGAACGCAGTGCTTGTGAACATGTCTTCACCCCGAGTTCCTCCTGTAACTGTAAAAAAGTGCTGCTAACGTGTTGGATACAGATGGTACAACTGGTTAATAACAGAATAAGGCTCTGTGAACATATACTGCGGTTATATGAAGTCTCTGGAGGATCTCAGACAGAGTGGAGGAGAACTTTAAACAAAAAGCTGCTAGCTTAAGCCCGTTAGCATCAAAACCCTGCCCACCACTTCCGGCATGCATTTATCCCTATCGCAGCAGTACGTCAGATGGACTAAACTCATGCGGCTGAAATTTAGTGAACACATGCATCAGCGGTGGGAACGCAGCTTTGTTGGATGGAAACTGACCCGGGCTACAATCTTGGGTTTATGTACTGACAGCACTTATGCACTCTTTCCTGTTCAAATCATCAAATAATCCATCTTTATTCAATTAAATGTATTTTTGTATCGCCTTAAATCACAAAAGCAGTTATCTCTGAGGACTTAACAAAGCTGTTGATTCGCCAACACAGATTAGAATCATAATGACAACAATACTCAGCTCTTGGAGACGGAGGCTCCACTACAGGAGGTTGTAGTTTACCCACCACTGTTGTCATTCAATCAAAAGTGTGACACCAGGAAATCACTAGGACATGTTTAGTACATTCTCCATAAATTCTACCAATTTAAGATTGGGTTTAAGTAACATTGTAAATGACATATCAATTCTAAATCATCTTTTAAGGCACTTCTCACCTGAAAACGAAAGTGCTGGCTGTGTTTAACCGCTGCCTTAGTGAAGTCCATTAGTTCAAACAGTACAATACACTGTTATCTACAGATATATTACTAATAATTACACACAAATAGTCACACAGCAGTCACTAAGGGAATGCACGTGGCACTCCATTTTCTTATTTAATCAAATCACATTAAGTCTTCAATACTGTCTCAGCACTTGATAAAATATACAAAAGTCATCACCGGATATGGCCATTCGCATGCTTCCAACATCCCCCATCCAGCCAGTGTATCAACGACTAAAATATCAAGCATTCATCCACTGTGTAATGTGGGAGAAAGAATCAGAGTTTCTTTTCAAATCACACGTTCATGGAGTACTTTCATACATATGGAGGCAGAAAGTAACTGATTGCAAATACTCAAGTTACTGCAATACACAAGACAGATTTTATTTGACATAATGGTAATGGGAATCTGGACCGTCAGCAGGAAATGATGCAATAGTAGGTGACCAAATAAAAGTCGTGCAAGACCTGCCAGAGCCTACTGTGTCGAGTCTGTATTACTGGTATTGGACAGATACAATCAAGGTTAAATAAATAGCACAGAGCTGTAACACCTAGACCTTCCTATACTGTTGTAAGTCATTAATGCTGTGTTCACAATGAAGTCCGGGAGTGAGAGAAAACAAGGATGTGTGGCAGAGCACAGCTAACAGTGGGGGTTCACCTTTACCTTGCTTGGGCAACCAGTATTCTATGAAACTCTAAGCCCCTTTTCTTAAGGTGCTGGTTTTGGTTCAGCTCGTTTTTCCACCAGAGAAGAGCAAGTGCTAGTTAGCATAGCAACACACTGTTTACTGTCAGAAGTTAGCATTCAGTAGCCTTTCATCTAACTGTTATTTTCTGAAAAACGAGGTTATATTCAGCAATTTTAGCATTTATTAAAAGGTATGTTTTCATAGAAGTAGTGAAACACAAAATGTTTTCTGGATTTTTTTTTCTCAGAATTCCAATTTCATTTGTTTTCATTAATTTTCATCCCCTTTATTAGTCCATTTCTGGCAGCAATCAGAGCTTTGTAAATTGGGTGGCAATCAGAGCTGCCACCCAATTCACAAAGCACCAGTCCCTCACTGCTGCTCTGCCAACAAAGACACAACCTTGGTGTTTCAGCTTCAGGCAAACTGGGGTTAAGTGTCTTGCCCAGGGACACAACATCAGCAGACATCAGTGGGAGCAGGTGACATGGGTCGTGGAGGGATCAAACCCACGACCATTAGGTTCAAAGACCAATGCTCTACCGTCAAAAAGACTGCTCTGGGAGTTCTAGTAGTTTCAGAATTCTGGGAGTCCGAGTGTGAAGTAAAATTATCAATTAGATCATTAGATAGCACATTACCTTACATAAACAAACATTATGGACTTTTCTCAGATTCATCTTGATCCTGTTCTGACATTTTAGATGATTTGGCCAGGAGCCTGTTTTATGTTGATCTCGGGGAAAGTGAAGAGAATTGAAGGCATGGTGCGAATGGTCTGCATTTTCAATGTGTTGTATAAAATGGAGGGGGTCTTGTGAGTCCAGTTTGGGGCCAATACTGAGGGGGGCGGGGCATGGGTTCGGTCGATACCAGCTCGAATCAACACAAACTGATCCAAACTAAAGCTTTGGTCCAAGAGTTGGTTCTTGTTTACAGTCGTGTTACTCTGCACAAGTGTAATTACCAATGTTACATGTGCGGCTCATGTCCAACCACCAGAATAGTCAAACTAGACAAAATTAATGTCTAATCTATTCAAACGGAGCAAGTCAGAGTATCAGCCAATCAAGTAAGACTTTCTGTTTTAGTGCAATGTTTATGACAGTTTTCCCCTGTCACTTCCAAATCAAGTTAGCATCTTTGTAAAAAATTGGTGCAAGACTGAAGACTGAACTACATGTTGAAATTCTACATCAGGAATGTCAAACTCCAGCCCACAAAACCAGTTTTAGTGGCTCCTGAAATTATGATCAAATACATAATAATTACAATAACTTGAGATGTGGCATTTTACGCTTCATTTAGCAAAAATCAGGACAACAACCATAACGTTTAATCTGTTCTAAAATGTTAACTAACATGTAATTAGAAGTTAAATTAGTAGTTATAAAACTACCAGTCTTCCAATACATCTCTTCTCGGTATTTGGCTTAGTAGTGGTTGAATCCAAACCTACCAGAAAATTATATAAAAACTCATAATAATACTTTTGGCCCCAACCAGCGCTTACTTAGGCTTATTTGGCCTTTCTGTGAATGTTGCATCTTATAGTGGACATTGGATCACAGCCTATCCAAAAATCATACCGTCTCCCTCTTTATCCGTCCTTTTAAGTTTGACAGTCTCTCCCAGACTGCAGCCCGACAGACTCAGGGGTTGGACTAAACAAAGGCCTCCTCTGCTTCAGCAGAACACATGAAAACAGTTTAATCCTCTCTTTAATCAGCCAGACAAAGACATGACACTTCATCTGCTCGTGGAGGATTTCAAGTGTTCACGGTAACAGACACACGTGAGTTTGTGGGGAGTTTAAATGTACATTCATGCAGAAACAGAGGAACTCCTCTGACACTTCTGTTGATGACTCTGTACCTGCGCTTATGACCTCAGACTCAGATAAACAGCTCTATTATTTCTACTCAATTAAAGTTCTATCATCTTCAGACAAAAGAATGTGTCTCAAAATAAGAAAATATATGGCTCTATACAATAGATAAAGAAATGGAAGGGACGGTGTGACTTGTCTATAATACACATTTAACATCAGAGGCAATGCTTTTGTTTAAGAGGCCAGGGATGTCATAGGCTGAAGATTTGTCACAGCATTACAAGGGTTAAAAAGAAGCATTTGGACACAAGTATCTGTTGTGAGTGTGGATAGATGGTCTGTTTGTCGTGAAGAACTAAGTTATAACACATAATAAAGCTCAACAAAGCAGAGTTAGCAGAATGTGGGTGTCCTTTAGGTTCAGGAGTACTGCCACAGAAACAGGAAGCCTGCTGGAAGAGCGCCTGGCCCTGATTGGTTGAGAGAGTGTGTCACTGTGGAGAGTAAATACTCAGTGTGTGCCCCGGAACCTGATTGGCCGAGGTGCTGACAACAGTGTGTTTATCAAATGGGCCAGAATCTTATCTTATTCAAATAATGTGACTGAAAAACCTCTGCACTGTTGACAATAGAAGATGGGGGACACAAACACACTATAAAACTAACAAGAAAGCAAGTGAGCTGATACACGTTCTGCCATTCTGTGGGAGATGATTATCATCAAAGGAGTTGAGGATTCAGGTGTTTCACTGCAATACACATTAAAATAATTCTTAAAATAACTTTGAAATGTGTTAGTGGAAACTTGCATGTTACAATGATGATATGGAGTGTATGTAATAAATGCTTTGCTGCTTAGATCTAAAGCTGTGGCAGTAGATTGTGGTGTTGGTGGAACCCTTTGAAGGTGAAACCCAAGAGTCCAGCTGGGACAGTGTGTGTGAGAGTGTGTACTAACTCTTGTTCTTCCGGAGAAGGCCAGAGGTCATCCAAGGGTCCGTTTGGACCATCCTGCAGGGGGGCACAGTCTTGTCGTCTACAGATGATGTGATCACCATGGAAACGCTTGGCAACTGAGCAATCCAGTTGGGAAACACTAAAGTCCTGTTCTCAAAGCTTCCAGAGCATTACGTAACCCTCATCAGGCATTTGTTCCCAGAGTTCAAAAATGTACATCCAACTCAACTTCTTATGCAAAGGCACCATCTACTCCGGCTCGTAGCTTGTCATACTGATTCTAAGGCAAACAACTGGTGTACAGGCAGCTTGAGTCTCTGATGTAAAAATATAAAGAATGTAAACTCACTAGCGCAGATATAGAACTCTTAGCTTCATATATACGGGGGCTCTCTGGAGGTGAGGGGGACACGAAAACATTTGGTAAGACGCGTGCATCTTGTCTCATCTTTGATGCATTGTTTTCAGTTGAGGTTGTGCTCACCTCAGATTGCTGGTGTAGTTTCTAGGTAGTCTAAAGATTCTTCTACAAACTGTATGAAAGCAGACTACGTTGTAGTCACATTAGCTATACTTGCTTGTTCTGTGTTAATAAAATAGGTACAAGTTTAAACATTTCAAGTTAGACAAATAGCTTATGTTGCTCCCTAAGACTTACTGTTTCCATAATCTTAGCAGAAGAAATTGGGGTGAAGGGAAGCCAACCTCAGCCTGCATGCTGCCTATGGGGCAGACACAGGAGTGATGGAAGGGGCAGAACAGAGGAGGTAAACGGGAGATAGGGTTCCATCTGCCTGCCTTTACCCCATGCCTATCACTAAAAATAGTTCCAACAACTGACACTTTGTGGGCACACAGCACAGGCCACAGAAGACTACAGCTGGGCAATGACTTCAAATTACAACAAGAAAGGAGACATGTTCAAGCACTGGATCAGCGTTAATTTCTCCTCTTCCTCCAAACAGCTGTGATGAAAGCGCACCTCCACATAGTTACAAAAGGAGTTTACAAACACAGAGCTGTCAGGACTGTCCCTCTGCAGCCTCAGGACTCCTTCAGTATTCCGTCAGTATATCCACGGCCAGTTAAAGGTCCACAACAAAACAGTGCGTAAATCCAAAGCTTTTCAGCGCCAGGAAAGAGGGCTCCATGCCGTCTGTAGCTCCGCTTTACACTAGTCCCACAGTCAGAGAAAGGCAGTCCGAGTCTGGGAAGGAAACCCCACGATCCGGCCCCTGAGCTGACGCACCTCCTCCCGCTGCTGGCGCTCGGAATCACCGTCTCTGGATCACGACTAAATCCAAACTCCTGCCTTTTCTTTTGAAATCACACTTTGTCCGATGACCTGACCAAACGGTGTTTTTGTCGCGTTCCCTTTTTCGGACTTGAGTCTAAACGAAATAGCCGCCGCTGTCCCACACGGTTCCCCACCCAGAGGACCGTACCATGTGTGAGAGGAGGGGGGGAGCACGCAACAGGAGCCACAGAGAGACGCACGCACGCTCACAACACGCACGCCAAACACAACTTCTGCACTTTAACGACAACGACGACACAAACTGTGCGTTGGCTTCTCAACAGAGGCATGTTGTTACACAGAAACACACAATGCACTGTGTGGCTGCACCCCTCCGCTCGCAGCTGTTGTCGCTGCTAGAAGACTTCTCTGCTCCTGTCCATTTATAGTAACAGCGGGATATATATACTGGAACTTTATATGTAGCTATACATGTGCAATTTTGTTTAAATCAGTATTTATAACGAGGGGATTTAACACATTAAGTACATTCTGAGAAACGTGCCATGTTTGCAGGGAGAGTCCACAGCAGTGCATGTGCAAAGTGGTTTAAGTTAGGAAAAACAGCGTAAGAATAAGAAAAACTTAATAAGTTCTGGACAATAACATGGCCAAGTGCTGGCCACTACTACTAAACACCTTCATAACATACGACATTATCACAGAATCTGGTTTAATAGTTTCTAAAGTCAGTATTCACAATCAGAAAGTCTTTGTTTTACAGATTCCCCAGCTGAATATTCCAACATGGACTACTTTGCAGTTTGACATCATAACCCAGATGATTGCCATTACAAGTATATGCACATGATGAAGTGTGGCACCTGTGGCTCTAAGTGTTGTGCTTATGACTGCATTGGTGTAACATCAGCCCAGTCCGCGAGCACGGCGCATAAATGATACAGGATGCATATGACGCAGCTCACAGTTGGCATGAGTCTTCAGATCAGACACAAACTTGTGTTCGTGGAGAAAAGTGCCCGAGTCCGTCAGCAGCATGCCCCCTCTCTCTGTTGCTCTCTGTTGCTACCCGACGCCACGGCAGCTGCTCCCTGATTGGCTGCGCTGGTCCCTGCTCTGCCGTCCCATTGGCTCATCCGCGGGTCGGTGGGCGGAGAGGAGAGCCTGCTTTCCCAGCGTCTCCTCCAACAGAGCGAAGCAGGAATGACGCGGAAATAGTTTGAAGATGTCAGGTAAAAAAGGCTGCTGTGGCCGGGGGGAGACGGGCGCACACGCAGGGGAGGGGGCCCTGCATGCTCGGCGCTCAGATGCGTGCCACTTCCCCTCACAAACCTTTCAAGGCTAAAAGTTGTTGCTGTTGCTATCCAAGCATAGCGGCTAAATCAGGCACAATGCTGCCTGGGAACAGAGCAGGCGAACCTCCGCTCTGACAGCTCCTTTAGTCAGAGACGCCCGGCCCGTAATACAACACTGCGCTTCCAAAACATGTACTGCAGCCTATGCATCATGCCCGAGATACACCACTGCACCTGCTTACTGGCGTTACGTGTTAGCAACTAATCCACACGGACGCACACTAATACATTCACCCAGACCCTGGAGAGACTGGTGATCCGGCTGTCACAAAGCAGACCAGTCCCTGATCACGAAACAACTAAAAAGACCTATTAATGTGCAGCCAAATGTAACAAGTAACAAGTGAATAGGCTTTTATGCTTCCTTTTTGACATTGCTTTTGTATCTCCCTGAACCCTTGCAACAAATATGGCGGATTTCCATGGTAACTGTCATTTCATTAATCCCTCCACGAGTTCAATAGAAAGCCATTTAGCGTGTAACTTCTCTATTCTTTGCCGTCAGTGACATAAGACTGGCTGATGAGTGCAGAATACTGACGCAAACATATCCACTGCGCACTTTTTTGCGACTAGTTGTTTGGAAATGGCGCTAACGAGCAGACAATGGAGATTACAAAGCCGGAGTGAGAAGGGAGAAAAAAGCAGACCTCACGTGCCTTGCAGCAAAAATCCACCCGGCAACTACACGCGGCGCCATAGTAACAGCGCTGCCATTGGTCCCCGGCGCGTTTTCGAGTGGCCAATGGGAGGGCGGCGGGCGGATGATGCTTGTTGCTAGGTAAACATGATGCAGGAGAAAGATAGAGAGCAGAATTACCATGCCGCTACTGCAGGGAGGGTGCTGTCAGCAAACGGAGCCGGTGTTTGGGGCCCTTTCTCTGTCTCAGCACTTGGAGGTGCCAGAGAGATCAAAACAACCGGAGGCCGAGCTGTGCCAAGCCATATATACCAGTCTTAGAGGGGGTATAGGCACGAGCCCGAGGGGGATGGAACAGGGGTGGGCAATATCAGCATCAATTAATAAACTTTTGGACTGTTTGATTCACAGGTTTGAGCCTTAATAAATGTCTGATATTCAAAGTAATATTTTACATTCCTTTGGAATTATCTATCACATGTGGCAGTCCCTCACATCTGTGCAAATTAAAGAGCAACTATTGTGTAATATTAGGTTAGTGGTGAATACTGGAAAGGCCCCACAATAACACATTTCAATGTCGTTCATTGCTATGGAATATAGATTATAAAGAATATCAAAACCACTTTATTCCACTGCCTCAATGACCAAAAAGCAAGAACATGTTATTCTAAATGTACAATATAGTTCACAAAAACATGAGGTATCAACATCAATGCTGCAAATATCGGTCATTCATTAATTTCCTTTGGCACAGCACGAGCTAGCTCCCTGTTAGCTCCTATCAGTCAATACTTACAGTACATTTAGATGTTAATATAATCTAAAATTAACATAACTTTGGTCTGTGGCATTTATACAACACATAAATATATAATACAGTTCTGTGAAGGTGTGTCAGTTAAATACATCACTGACAAAAAACACTGCAGGAACCTGTGTAGGAGACAGTGAGCTGCTCTTCTGCACACATCCCTGGACCAGTTCAATCTAATTATCTTGCAGCTCAAACCAAACACAAACCAGCAGGCTGATTTTAAAGGTTAGCATGTAACTCGGAGCTAAAAACACGTTTCCTGTGTTTGTGGTCCATCAATATTTGTCAACACAGATGTTTATGAAACCAACACTTAACTCACTATGACTAAACAATGTACAGTTCACAAATACATGTCTTAACAATTAATAAAATAAAACCAAAGCTCTTTTTATTAAGGTTCACTTATTTTTCAGTTCACAAAGATAAAACGCTGAAGACAACCTGGGATAACATGGAAGCAGATGCATTATTATTATAAATCCCAGGGAGCCTGTTTCTTTCAGAATTTAGACCGCATGAACACTAATGTTTTACAGCTGGTTGCTTACATGTGGGTAAAGTGAAGGGAGTTTATACAAATACACACAAGTTACAAAAGGGACAATACTTTGCATAATAACAGGGTGTGAAACTCTCGAACATTAACTCAGACTTCGGAGCAAGTTTTATTTTGAACGGGTGGACCGCAGTAACCAGAGGGGGGACCACTCTGGGCCTGTGGGGGTGGACTCGAAAGAAGACATAAGCATTGGGTAATTCTTATTCCCTCGAAAACTGCTTTACAGGATGGTCCAAAAGTCAGCTTTTGGTTCAACACTGCGTTGAACCAAACATTAGTGGCACATTAGTTTCAACGGTGGATACACTGTAAATATTACGGACCTAGTCACGCCTATGTTTGTAATGTACACTGGCTCCAGTCTACTCCGGTCCAGTTTCATCCAACTGCTGTCAATCAACAGGAGCAGACAAGAGGAGACAAGAGGAGACAAGAGACCAGAGGAGACAAGAGGAGACCAGAGGACACA